TCGTTTTCATTGTTAGACTCGGCGCAAAACCAGTACTTCGTATTTAAAAACAAAGGAAACTTCCAAGACTTCATTGTCGAATGCGCAAAAGTCATAATTTAAGGTAGAATATACTAAACAATCGGTTCTTGAACACCTAGCACCAAACATCTCGTTCTTAATGAGTCCATAGTAAGTGAAAATTCTTTATCATACTAACTAACACGTCAGCCTTCCCTGAATTAAAAATCATGGGAAATAAGTGACTTTTACTGAGTGTTCCGACAAAGTTCATCGATGTTACGCCAAGTGGAAGGGTTTGCGGAAGTTGGAAGTTTTTTACATTCACTTGGCGCCTTATAAATGCATTCTAATTATCAGAAGGTAGCACAATAATGAAATAATGGCCAGAGAAAACTTAGGAACTCACGTCATTGCCTGGTACATGGACTCGATGCCATAACGAATTGCAAATTCAGTAATTATCTCCTGGGCGGGAGAATCAAAGTACACTTTCCAGCTGTCATCCTTGATATAGAGACACAATAAAGTGGTATTTGAGAGCCAGAGGATGATATTATAAAAAGTAAAAAATTTATCAAAGAGGAGTAAAATTTTACTGTAGATGAATTTTTACTTTTGTTGTATTTCGAGAAAAAAGAAGACCAAATATTCATTGATTGAAATTGTTGTAAAATATCTCACAGTAATCAAATTGGAAAATATGTCGTGAAATTATGAGACAGAAATAACCTGATTCCACGCGTTTCAACCTTATGTTGAACACAAAGACTCGTGGTTATCTGGACTAGCACATAAAATGATGGTCAATCGTGTGTGTCTACTAGAAATCTCAAGCGGCATCCTTGCGTGCAATCTCAACATCTCATCTTTCTCTTTAAATAAATGTGGAAAATTTAGAACAATGAACTTCATTTTGTGCTGCTACACACTTTCTCCTAGTAGAAAACTGCAATATTGGCCACCGAGAAAATTCAATGCGTCCCGGATGACAGCTTAAAACTCCTAGGGGAAATAACTCAAATAAAATACTAAAAAATATAAAGGGTTAAAACCTCTTGGATATTTTAAAGGTCTTGTGGTATTGAGTGGTTAATAAAAGCTTTGTATTAAAAATCCATACAAGAATTTCAAAGGAGTTAATAGATATGGTATTATAAACAGGCAATAAGTAATAGAATATTTAAGAAAAAGGATGAAAGTAGAATTGGATCCCTAAATTCTAAAACTATAAAAACTGTAGAGATGTTAGAAGTGAATCTACCGAGAAACCCATATTAATATGAATATGGGAAAGCAAAAACTTACACCTTTCGTCTCCGGGATTTTCACCTCTGGTTCACCATTCTTTTTGTTCGTTTCACAGAGGTAATAGAAGATGTTCTGTCAAAAGAGGACGAAGTAAACGAATCGCTCAATGTAGATGTAATGCAGCAGTAGCAATAAGAAAAATCCCACTTGAAAAGCATTGCCAACTGCTTGAGAAGATGCGCCGAAAATAGCTAATTTACTAGTGACTCAAGAATATGTAAACAAAGCTAGCAACAAAATATTTAGAAATTGTCGATCTCTTTTCCCAAAAACTGATTTGAAAAAATGAACGCACTGTCCCGAGGGAAGTGTTGACTTCTGAATGATCCTCAAAAGAATAGATTAATCGCGACATTGAAAAACACAACTGTCCCTGGATTTGTAAAAGTAGAGATATCATCACTTCCGGGATTGAAGGATTATAAAACATTTGTTATAATCGACACGCGCGCGGGCTCTTCGGTCCCCGTAAATTGCACTTCCGGCTAGACGGCACGGCCGGAAGACCACAGCCAGGATGTACCCAAATCACTTCCACACGAAGTACAGTTAGCATCAACTCATTTAGTAAATTGGTAAAAAAAGGATGATATCCCTTGTAGGTTAAAAATGAAGCAATATGGCGCAGAAATCAACTGTGTACTTGCATTTGCTTGGAAATATGGTCAACGTTTTCCTCTTCCTCCTCAAGCCAGGCTAAACGGATGCGGCGAGTGAAATTAGACAGAGCCTTGTATCTTAAACCTAGTGAAACGAATAGCTCAGAAAGGCTATTCCCTCAATCAATTCATATCCAGCAGGGTCTAATGGACGTCCAGAGATGGTGAAAGCGTAAGCATTCACTATCAATATGACCTAGTTAATGCTTCAAACTGCAGTGAGATGTTATTCCCATTAATGCCAACGCAAACTTTCAAACCCATGACAAAAAATGATGATGATAAAATAATATAAGTGATTCATCAGGACATCATGGCCTTCCATATTGCCTGCAAGAAGATAACAAGAAGACCATCAAACTAATCGCGCAAGGTAATAATATCTAGATCCGAAAAATAGTGCAGTCTACTACCCCTAACTCACTTAAACATGCTTCTTAATAAGACTTCTAGAGAAATCATTATCCATTTAGTTTATTTTTCTTTAAGGATCCATCAACTCCCACAGAAGAATTGATAGGATAGGAACAGATGGTTTAGCATTCCACTTTTGACTTTATCCAGTGATTCAAAAGTAATATAAGCCTCAGTTTTTTTGAGAAAAAAGACATTAGTGGAGTTTAAATGCGCAAATATTCTTCTTAAAAAAAATTAATTACAAAGCCCAGGAAATGTAGTTCTGCCTTTGAGGTAATATATCAATGCCTAAAAGTACCATCTCCATCAGTGGCAGCACAACAGTGGGCCATTCACCGTATTTAGAAATTTTGGCACACCACACGAGTAGCCCAAGTTTCTGATTACATTACCTGCGTTTCCAGCCTGCAAGTCCTAGATGATTAGTATTGCAAATTTGCCGATGGCCTCTAAATTTCATAAAACCTCCAGAGGCAACTCATACAAGGATGAAGGCTAAATCGTCCCATCTTGGAAATTGTTTCTATATTTCAGCTGCGACCAAACAGAACGGCCATTGTGACCTTGCATCTTATTCCATTTTCAATCCAAAACGAAACCTATGATGTTATCTGACTGAGCAGTTAAAGACGAGATGGTTATGCGGTCAAAAAACATTTATCCACCCGCTTTACTTCCATTCGCTTGCCCTCACTTCTTCATTATAATGAGAATAACGGGTAAAATACGCCCTACTTTAACATATAATGAAGAGCAGGAAGCCGATTGTCCTCGTTGTTTTATGCATCAAATGTCACTCTGATCTGGTCTAAATCCAAAACAACCCAACTTAAAGTGGAAAAAAAACAAGAAAACATGGACGTCAAAATGTCTTTTCAGCCCCTTAAAACAAGCTATACCACCCCTAATTCATGAACAAATAATAAAGGTGTCATGACATTTTAAATACAATAAGTTTAACAAAAGAGTTGTCAACTTTAGAGACTAATAATAACAAAACCCCTAGCACTACCATCAAATTAGGAAAACATCTAACTTCTTTCCAATATAAAATTGGTGTTTAATGGTATTCACTTTGCGACTAGCTTATTGTAATAGACTTACTTCATGGAGGCAAGTGTACTGAACGTGGTAGGGCGCCACTTTCTCCTCACCCTTAATCTCCACCGAAATGTGCAGCCGAATCGCGCCGGATACAGCACTCTTATCAGTTCGCTTTTCTGCGCAGACAAGACAAACAATACCGACATTTAAATGGCACGTAAATTATGCAGCACAGACGATTTTACGACGCCTCGACATAGGTCTGGGAGCACAAGCTGGTAGGTTAATTAATAGTGCATGAGATGACATTAAATCAGTTCGCCCTGGAGGATTATGCTTGAGTGATCCACTCTACCTGCTTTTCCTACAATTCCAACTCTTTGGGAGCCTTAGTTCCTCGCAAAAGAAGTTAACCATCATGCCGACAGTCCAGTCTGTCACTTTCTTTATCAAAGTAGATACCAGTAGCACTGGTGCAGAATTGTCTGTTTCAGGTGTTTTAGCCAATGCACTCCAAGCAGACCATAAACAACTTGTACAAACACGAACATATACAGACAACAATATAACAAAATGAAATAGAGAGTGAGTGATGTGGATCGGCACCCACCCAAGTTGTACCAGACATCCATTTCACCAGAGAGGGTTCGGACGTCAATTATAGTTTGTCCGAGAAAATCGTCCGATTCGGATGTCAATTTTGAACGCAACTTTGATCGCAAATCATTATCCTCATCCCTGAGAAGATGCATTCGGAAAATTAGAAGTCCTACTGTTTTAATCCATAAACCTTAATCGCAGTGCTATTTATAGCTGATTTCTAATACAGTAAAAATACCTTATTTCAACTAGACATAATTGACAAGTGTAGATGTAAATGCTAAATTATTCATTGCGTTTTGAGGTCTGCAAGGTTTTTATCGAAAAGAAATAGCTTTTTTTCTTCAAATCGCCTTGAGTAATGCCCAGATTAACTTGTTTTTCACTAAAAAGTTTGCCACGTTTTATTCAATCACTTCAAATTAAAACTGGATGTAACTGACAGTAAGGAAGAAAAAGTACTTCACACGGTCCTGATTTGAATGGACTTGACGAAAAGAGTTTCATTAATGATATAAAAAATGGGGGAATTTAACTGAATTTAAGCGAAAAATCGTATAAACAATTACTGCTTGAGCAGAAGGGACTGGGATGAAATAAACAAAAATTTGTACAAGTAGCTTTTGCTGGTAGTAAAAAGGTTAGTGAAACAAGCAGCCTGCTCACTAAAACACTTTTTACATGCACATTTCGTCTATTCCACCAGAGTCAAATTAGTTCTATTTAACCAAATACTGTGTCTCACCAAAAATTTTGCAAAGAAGCTTACCAAACCCGAATTTTGATTCGATCCGTTCCATTGTGACACTCGCTAAAGGAAATAATTTCCACCGTTGTTTAATCAGGATTGAGTAACACTTCAAGGTAAATGCAAACGCCTAAATCATACAGACTCAAATTTTAAGCTTCACTGAATTATCTGCTTATGTCCATAGAAAATGACGCATCATTGAAATGTATCAGAGAAACTTACAAGTAGAACTTCTCATTCCAAACAGGATTGAGCTCTTGAGGCACCGTTTTCGTCCTTTTCTTTACCTTCCCCACTTGAACAGTGACATAGGGATCGCTTGTTCCCGTCTTATCCTTCCCAATTAACCCTTGTGCACATTTGACTGAAATGGGAAACACAAATTTGGCTTTTCAATAATAAGTCAACCGAAGGATTACAATGTGAGATCTAACATTATCAAAGGTGGTGAGCGACACCGATTGGCAGCGAATTAGGAAAACAAAACTGTTTTTGTGGAATTAAACAATCACATGGGTTTCTTGGGACCCAAATTTACTATTTAGTGCTTGATCAATGCAAGAGCAAAGTTCCGAAATGCAAATTTTCCAAAGGTTGGGAAAAGGTGATAATAGCACAGAAAGGTAGACCCAGAAAATCCTACATTTATTGCACTGTTTTAAATTAAACAAATAGGTACAACCGATTCCCATAAAAGGAGGATATGGCAAACGTGTAACAGTGGTGACGAACACACTAGAATAAAGGTGTTTGTAAATTGTTCAGAGATCGCATGCAGCCTTTAACATTGCTTATGCAATAAATTTCTTAACAGATTTAATCAAACAGAGAATGTACTAGAACAGTCCAATGGAAATAAAGAAGATTCACAGCTAACATTTGTGGCATCTCATAGTCAGATTCAACGCGCCTAACTCTTTGGACGTTGAATCAATGTCAAACATAATACGCACGATAAAGTGTAGGCTATATTGCGATTGCTGTGCTACATAAATGCGATTCCAGCAACATCACTCACAGTTGTTACAACTAAACCACTTTATGTACTCATACGTAATCCCAACTCCACACAAGTAAAATCCAACAATGTTTGGGGGTAACTATGACAGCAACTATCTACGAAATCCATTGGCACTTCTAAGAAAGCTGTTAGTGCTAAAACTGGAGGTATGGATACCTATGGCGGAGTAATGAACCGGTTCTTTATAATACTCTCTGCGTACCTTCCAGTAAGCACTGTGGACAGAAAGGGAACAAGATAGGCAAAAGCAAAAGCACATAATATTCTTGAGCATTAGATATAAAAGGTTCATTTTTCCATAATTTTACACTTTACATCTTCTTCACAGTCATACAGAAATAACGCATGTTATACTTGAATGAATTTTATATAAAGTTATAAATTTATAGAAACTAACATCTTTGAAATCCAAAAGTGAAAGCACAGCGTAACTGACCCGTAATGGCAATTTTGGCGGACCACTGGCTGGTACCATCAAGGATGCTTTTCTGGGCCTGTTGAAGGTTCTGCTTATGTGCATTCTCCATTTTGAAGACCTTTCCGACGAGATCAAAGAGCTCCGGCTTGGTGCGAATACGTTGACGCATTAACGACGACATCGCCTGCTTTATACTCTGCGTGCGGTCCTCCGAGCCGTGCTTCACCGACTTTTCTGCGGCTCCTAGAAAATACCGAAAAAGAGCAAAAGATCTTAATTGTTGCCACTTCTAACATATATGCATTTTAACGTGATAAGTCATTCTACTTTGTCACAGCGTCTAGCTGGATACGTGGGATCGCGATCATTTCGATATCTACCCCTCCGATGAATCATAGAGGTCATTCGTTACTACTCGCATCCTATCTGAATCTCGATTGTCATAGTGATGGTGACACATCAAGCAGACTTGGGAAGTGAACAACTGGATGAGATGATTGCTGCCTCTGATGGAATGTCCCACCTACGACTTAAGTATGGTTGAGGGAGTGATAAAGTGAGTGACGAAGGATTATCACAAGTAGAAACAAAACTATTGAAATGCAATATTTATCCTTCAAATCTAATAAGATGACCGGGGAGAGTTGTTATTAGTCACAAGGCTCAGGGCGAACAGTAATAATTGAGGGGCATCAAACTTCAAAACTAATTACTTACACACGTTTTATTTTAGTACACTAAAAACTCCCTTCAATAAGCAGAGGATTGAAGTTTTTAGAACATCAAATTTATCATGAAACACGCAAATATTAAAGGTCTAACTTTCAAATTGCTCCAAAATAAAGTACATTTAGACAGGACTTTGTGTTGAAACGGATATACTCAGTTTTACCAACGAGTTATTAATTTTTAAATACATTTATTTTTATGGTTTCACGCCTTTCGATGTACTTTTTTTGTGAAAACAAAAATATGCCGGTAAAATTATCCCTTATTTGCACAACCTCCACACAAGCATATGCCTAGATTGACGCAAACAATGTATGCTATTTATAGAAAGCCGTGCCAGGGTTTAACTTTGTAACCGATTTAAGCCGGAATTATTAAAGAGAAAGGAAGTGGAAACATTGTGCTTATGATCCAGGTGAATCGGTATTAACTACAGAAAGTCAAAACCAGGTATCCACAGCAGACTTACGAGCACTTTAATTGGTTTTAGAGGTTAAACTAGCAACAAGAGCATTGTTTACTACAAATTAATTAAGACCGCATAGTGATTTTTCAAAAGTGAAGATACTCAGCTATTTTTAGTTGAATGAAGCATGAGATAGGTGTTGTAGCAGGCCAGCTATTCTCGGACAAAGCCTTCAAGGTTAGGCCCAGTCTCCAGGGTCTGCTCCCTCGGGTCACTTTAATCAGTATTTATAATCGCGCTTATCGTAGGAGGGCAACTAGAATCAGTCAAGGAGCCATAGTATTTGAATTCACATCTTTATTATTTTTCATGTATCGGTAAGATGGGCGCCCTAATTCAAGCTAAAACAAATGGTTTTGCACCCCTTTATTCTAAACCTTTGAGGCAGAATATAAACAACACAACGACCTGTGAAAGCAGAAGAAAGTCCCCTCAATCAACCGTAGTCAAATGAATTAAGAAAGAAATCTCACCATAAAGCCGTGACCTTTGAATAAATCATCACGAAATGGATGTACTCTCAAATGTCCACCCATTCCATCGATGCAAATCAGTTTTCACGAAGCCAAGTGAATGAAATAATGAAGTAATTAAGTTCGGACTACCAGTTCCCATTACAGTTAAATCTTAATAAAACTAATTTGCTTATATTTCAACTTTATTTGTGAACTTTTCCAATGATACCAAAGTAATCAGTTTGACTGTGTTTAGTAACTGCACCAATGTAGGGGGCTTGAATTAGACACAATGAGAATTTTTAAGATTAAGGAAGTCAAGTAATGAACTTACGCTGAAGACAGTCTGCATTGAGGAGTTCACGACACTTTTCGTGACACTTGACGCCGCACTCTGTACACCGCAATCCCTGACGGGCCAAGCCCCAGAGCATACCTTCACACTCGTAGCAGTAGGTGGGACTGGTCGCGCTCCATACTTGGAAGTTATGCGGCGTGTCGCTGGAGATTGGATAGAGCAACGCCTGAAGGGTCTTCTTGTAGACGTGTTGTTTCTAGAAAGATAAGAAAATTGTCAACTTTGGGCTCTCTGATGACGCATGCTAACGATACAGGCAAATATGACGACTACTCCTTCGGTACCTACACAAAAATGTTCATTTTTATAGGTGTGGATGGTCTTGTGGATTCAGTTTCAACCTCCTTAAGAGTTCTAGTCGTAATTTTACCCATATTCTTACAAACATGGTTTGAATATCAAACACATGGAGAGAAATACGTTTATCAATTGAAAGATAGCCAGTCATGCGACCATTACAACATTATCTTTGGATAGACTTACAAAATAACTGAAAAGTTTACATGATAGATTTAAAAGAGTATATTATATAGCAATTAAATGGAAAACTTTGACCAAGTAAATATACTAGGCTGTTGACCGTGAAATCTACGGCAGTAACAAAATAATAGGGCTTTGCAGCTGATTGGATTTGACAGGATGCTGGTGTTGTAACAGATTACAAGTGAGTTATTTTGAACACTTTAATGTGTGAAAAGACAGGCATGTAATAATCATACAACTGACTGCTATGTGCATGAAAAACTGAAATTATATTTCGAATTTTCAGCATAGTTCTATGCAGCGACTTCTTGTGAAGACTTGTAAAATGTATACTAACGTTTAGATGCGCGTATTATAAAGTCTCGGCCTATCGATATGATATATTTTACTGTCCTCCGCACTACCTTTCGCCTATTTTGAGTTTTATGCTTTATCAAGGCACAGAAGCTTCTAGAAGAATGTGTTTAACATTTGGATAAGGTGTGGTAATAAGAAGCACCATCCAAATATGATCAAATAAATAATTTGATTCCGGTTTCAAAACACTCAAGTATAGGGAAGATCATCATTCCCTTTAGTGGCGAAGAATTATGTGGCGCCATTAGTTAAAACAATCCAAGACTAGTGCCTCAAGAACTTTTTGTCGTCTAGACTTACACACTTGGGAGGCCAAACAGATGGGTCCCACCCAAGGGCATTAACAGATGTAAATAACTTCTAAAGACCATCCATTTGTTCGTCACTTTTTTTACTTCCTTCAAAAAAAGGCGCCATGCACTTGGGATTGTTTGCTGACTGGCTAATTCGTGGTGAGAAATGGCTCCTGCATTGTAGAATTCGTTAATTGAAGAAATGGACCCCATTACGCGACCCACATTCCTAGAGGCGCACACCACTTCATTCTCAGCAGTTTGCCTTGCATGCGTTGCATCGTAAAGAAAATTTTTTACCTTCTGAAGGCCAAACATTTACACCGGAGACCTATCTACCCAATAAAAATCAGAAAGAAAACTGGGAAGTGTACAAAAATGTTAATTTTTGGCAAACAGCCAGGGCAACTAAATTTTTTGAAAGGAAATTATCCCAAAGGATTACATAATTAGGAATAGATGAGAGAGAAGGATATAGTGCCTCCTTCCCATCCTTCATAGTTCTCTGACGTTAGATGAGCCAAATATGTGCATGAAATAGAATTGACATTTGCGAAATAAGAATGAAACAGAAAGGGGTGTGGCTGGGCCTAGTTTGGTCTTTGCCAGGGGCAAAAAGTTTCATAAAAGTGGGATTAACAGCAAACTTCGCCATCGTTGAGAAGGGATTAGGTACGGTGATGGTGGTCATTTCACCTACAAAACTATTTTAAGAAACCTCCTCCAGTTATTCAATTCTTATTACGTAAGGCAACACGAAATTATTTGATGACGGCGTATAATAGAAAAATTGTGGTAATTTTGGCTGATTGCGAGATAGTCATTCTTTACACCCCCAATTTGTCATGTACTCAAATTAACTCAACCCTAAAGTGATTCGGCTTGAAATGCCGAAAGACTGAATAACCCACAAAATTTCGTAAAAGGACCCATTTCTAAGAAAATTGGTTTTAGGGATAGTAGAATTAAGTTTTTATAATTTAAACTTGCCAATGCTTCATGGCGTGATAGGCCCCTGAAGTCTTCCCCCATAAAGTCTATTTATGGATTTGAGACAGAAGTAGACGTCCATTCCCAGAGGACAAAAGTGTCTGCTTTTAAGTGGAAAACTCAAAACCGAAAGTGCATTCATCTTCTGACTTTGTTTCAAACTCATTAAATACCGATATAACTCATTCCACTTAAAAAGGAGAATAAAATGGGGCGCAACCATCTTCATTTTACAATGAAAAATTAAAAACAAAATTAGGTGACGTTAATTCACTTTTATAATTGAAATAGCATTGCTTACACTTTTCATGGGAAACATTTTACAAAATATCCGAGTAATAAATAAGCACAATGTTTATGCTTTTTGGACTGTCAACACTTGATGTAAGTCTATTCCTTATAACCTTATATGGTAGCCGCCTGCGTTGCCTAATTATTTTGACTTTTAAGTTAACTCTCCAATCTTAATTAGTTTGACTAGGCAGAATCAGTTTCTGTCTGTACTTAAAGTCTACCAAAATGGGGCAACATCCCAGCACTAGTGAAGCACTAGTCTATAAGCTTCACTTCCACGAGTCTTTCAGATTACACAGTGAATTTTTCATGGAAATGTTCATCAAGTTTAGCAGAATCAATAACGAGTACTTCGTCCTAGGATTTCTTCATGACAATCTTAACGATTCTCCCATTATTAAATAGGTTAGTTGACTAGTCCAGGATGAGTTTAAGTTCCTGTTCCGGTACAAGGTCATTACTTACAAAAGAGGGTACTTTTAAGGATACAAAGACTAACATAAAAGAAGCACAGGAAAAGAACTTGCCAGTTCTTCATCGTTGATGGACTGACGCGTGATAAGATTGGCACTTGCAGTTCCCATATTTCGTTTCTGAACAGCCATTGTCTAAAAAGCGTGAGTATTATGCAATGTGACTGATTATTTTACTCACACAGAAAGTAAGTTTGGTAATCAGTAATCTTTTTCCCCAAAGAACTTTCTTCAGGTTGCTGTAGGACAAAACTAGATGACCAAAAGGTGATCGCTTTGCCATCCTAACAAGAAAGGTTTTAGCCAACATCGACTACTAAGTGACATCAGTTACTACATGGTTAGTGAATTCCATTAAACAAACGAGGGATCCTAGAACCTATCAGGACATTAAAGAATGCTAATACGGACGTCTAAACAATTGTGTGGAAAAGAATAAGTATGGTTAACTTTGCAGCAGTCTACATTTCTAAATGAAGGTATAACTGATGGTCGGCTAAAATTATGCGTGTAGTCTTCACAATTCCGCGACGAGAGGCAGCTGTCTTATCAACAAACATTGGAGGTATATTCAGGGGAGAATGAAGATTGCCAGCTTACTTGGATAACCTAAAGCAGAAAAAAAGAATGCCATAAGTCAAACTTCTGGAGAGCTGAGCATATACAATTTAGTTGAAGAAACACAATACCACTAAACCAAACCTTTGGAAAATGCTGCTCAAGTCAGTCTCAGAACCCGTCAATTTTTAAATTGATCGAGGACTAGAAATTAAATTTAGGATTATAGCACGCTGGGTAGGTTTTTGGGACAACTTTGGAACTTTTAAATTTATCATTACATTATTTGCATGTAATTCCATGTCTAAGTGATAAAAACCCAGTGATTTATTTTCAACTATGCGTTTAACTAGGCGAAGAATTCAATTCCTGTAGGTTTTACTTCCGTTTTGGTGGTATATTCTTGCAGCCACGTCTATAACCTTCCAGCCCTTCTGTGGGCTGACAAAAACCATTCACACAGATATTGGTGTGTTTTGTTACGATTTCAGGGAAAACTTGGTGCGCTACAGCAGTGCCAGAGGTAAGCAAACCCGGTCGCAAATGAAGAAAAATCCTGAGTTCATTTGATAATTACCATATCTTAACGTCGTAGAGGGAGGATATCTGAATTGGCAGAGACTCACTGCAAAAGGGCTGGAACGGAATTAGCCTCTAGCAAATCCTCATTCCGATTTCTACGCAATAACTGCTGATGAAGAAAGCCCAAATTTTAATGAAATGCACCCAATCCTTAGAAGGGGCCAGCTATATTATTTTGAACAAGAAGATTCGCATAACAGTATGAGAGAAGGACATTCTTCCTCTCGCCATCACTCTTAGCCAAGTCTTACTATGAAATTCGGCAAATATGCTTAACATCACACGCTGCAGAAAATAATTTAGCCAAATGCCTTGTTGCCTTGCGGAGGTTGCAATACTTAGAAGTACTGACCACACCTATAGCATGTAATTTCACAAATGGGTGGCATTGTTCCTAGTATACGAGATTGCATTATCATTTTTGATTCTGACTCGTTACGGCAGAAACAGGCGCAACCACGGGGAGTACTGGGGCGATACTCAAAGGAAGGGAGCCATAGAGTGATTTTACGTTTGTTTAACAGTATATTTAGCTGTTGGCTCTCCATTCATCGGAGGTTGTAATTTTTCTTGGCGCCATGGTCCTTCAACCATGACCTTCTCTGTGTTAGTAATAAATCTTCCATACTGGTGTAGCTTAAGGCACTACAAAAAACGTCTTTTACTATGTAAAAAACTCCCAGCCTAGCGTATTAACACCGCTTTGGCTGTCGACCACACTAATCCTATAATTGAATCAGGATTTTGCTCGATTTTGCCATTTTAAGATCATACTTCCCGATTCGTTTCTAAGATTAAAGCATGATCTGCATTTGAGTTAATACCTGAATCAAGACAGTTACTTATGCGACAAGAGGGAATAGTGGGAAATTTTTGCTATCGTTTGACTCCTCTAAATCAACATATCTGGGAGGTCAATGAGAGAGTAACCAGCACGCATACCGACAATATCGAGAACTTGTTAACATCTGACATTACGAGCTCTATAACCGATTTTAATCATTTTGGAAGCCTCATTTAAGATTGTTATCAGGATCGATTATGTTAGAATTGAGCATCCTAAATATCTTATAGGTTTCTGCTCATCATAACGGAGCACGTATGCAAGCGGGTAAACTATTGTCTTACCAAATCACTGACGAGCGAGAAAGGTTTCTTTTTCAGCTTGAAATCGGGCATACTGTCAATGTTGTAGAAGGAAAAGTGACTTTCACCAGCTTTCTTTCTAAAAATTAAAAAAAACAGAAGAGAGAGTTGTACGGGATTGTCATAGCAGTAGGCTTTGACGGGTGAGTGAATAACTAGGACAGATTCGTACGGACAAACACACAACAGCAAAAAAAAACGCACCTTGGAAGAACACCTGACTAAAATTAAAAGAAAAAATTGCGATTCTTTGCGTATATGAATATTTCAGCCCCGATTTGGGAAATTAAAAGAGAATTTGAGGCCTTTTCTATCACCAAACCTACAAAATACATATTAAATTAGAATTCTACAGCTGTGATTAACACTTTAACTTTGTCTAAAGTGAGACATTAATCCGGTTATTTTGAAGAGATTGATGGGTTGAAGCAAAAGATTTCTCTTCTCGGAACACAATACGATTTAACACACAAAATCACTGCGATTTCGGGCGGCTGCCGATGACATCAGTCCAATGGGTGAATTGGGGAAAGGCTTATGATAATGTGCAAAATATATTTTGTTCAGTGCACCACTTTGGGTGGTAAATAAATTGTGGATTTTCTTCTTAACTCCCTTAGTTTCATTTAGGCGTGTAATAAAAATTTGACGATTCAAAATAAATTCACTTATAAGTTGCTGAATTCTCCAAATTACATCTGCGCGCCTTCCCGCCTCCCCACCACAAAAATCCAACCTTGACCTAATATTCAGCCAAGTAATGGAAAAAACGAACAATGCACCATGTCGACGAAGTAAGATTCAAACGAGTAGGTCTTAAAGCTTATTTCCATCGCAGCAAACATACATTACGTTGGAATACAAATTGGAGGCACACTCACGCGATGCATTACATTATTTTCTGGCAGAAGAATACGATCCAACACCTGAGCACCCCAGATCTTGGATACCCAACAACCTACTGCTCTGCGAATCCCATTAACTTGGATGTCCCGGACCCGTGAGATACACACAATTTTGGGAACGGTAATAACACGGCTTTAAAGGACAGATTGAATACTATTAATACAGTTGATTTAGAGGAAGAAACATCACCCAGTTGATCTGCCAAAAGAGTAGGGCACATCTTTTAAAAATTTAACATATCTGTAGAAATATGAAAATCAATATTGTCACTAATAATAACAACTGGAGATACCTCATTTAGTTGTCTGCAGACATGGTCAAAAGCATCGAACCAGCGCCGCCTAGCTATAGACTGTTTGGTGTCAATATCGGTAGTTGTGGCGGGTTTGAGAGACTCCAAGCGAGACTGTAGCCTAGTGCTACGGCCGGTGGTTTCATCGCCTCGATTTTCACGCTTCTGCTCATCGTCGTTGCCGCCTTCGTGTCGTTCATTTTCCGGTGGGGGCAGTAGACGCACACCCTCGTATGAGGTGAGCGAACTGCTGTTTCGATGTTCACGAAGGTGGTGATTTTGACGTTGGTGCCGGTGTTTGGAACTGTAGAAGTCGTTGAAGCCCCGTTGGAATCTCTCACTACTGGGTCGATGGAAAGTCGGAGTGGAATTAGTAACGTCTTTGGTTTGAAAGAAATATGTCATCACTAACATCAAAGTGATCAGAGGGAGAGATCAAAGTGCTATTTAACGTATGCATAGAAATGAAACCTGTGGAATATTAAAAATTTTTTATTTCAGTGCTTCAAAGGATCGTAATGGTTTCCATTAGCATATTCATTCCCGGATATTCTAGAAAGTTTTAGAGTCCGTGCTAGTATTAATTGTAAAATCAAGGCCATTTAAAACGACATAGATAGGAGAGAATGCTGACCACCCGAGTTTCCCAGTACTCCTGCTCAGTGGGAACATGTGCGCACGCCGACCTCTAGGGATACACAGATTGTCAGCAAAATTGTCCGTGTTCACATATATATCAGCAGCTTATAGCAATCAAACTTATAAATCTGATTGCAACATAATTGTTTGGTGTTCATAAATTTTAAAAGACTTTTAAAGGAAACGTCTGGAAGAAAGTACTTCCACAATTTTTGAATAGATTTCAGTAGAGATCACAGCACATATAATAATTATGCATTGCGGGGTGTAACATGCATTCGAGAAAAAAGGAATATGATATAAACTTTACTTAGTTAATGCACTACACTAGGTGAGGTGTTAGCCATCTCATATTTTACGTCCAACAATTGGTAATTTTGCTTCTGATTCACGCCAAATTGCTACACGATCTATCTGAAATGCAGTGTTTTACAAAAAGCTGAGTTGTTAAATGGCAACCTAAGCTAAGCCCTCATTTACATTTTAATGGAAAGGTCTTGCACTTAAGCCATATCGAGTGGTGAGTGGATTTAGCCAGAATTTTACCCTTGGAATTTGGTCCGCCGTGCCCCAAAATAATGTCGCATGTTTGATGTTAGAATGTCCAACCCTCATGCTTGAAATGAGTTACGTGAAGTAGGGAAATAAGTATCGTTTGTATCTTACTTAAAACCAGTCGCTTCGTTACACATTGTTTTTACGAAAACGTTGATTGGATATGAGGGAAAAGCTGAGACTCAAAAGTACAAAAGAAAACACCGAATATCACAGGAAGCGATTAAGCCTTAATTCCTCATTAACTACTAAAAAACGGAGTGCTGAGGAACTGCAGCACTTTTGGCTTGAAAAGACGGTCCTATGTAAGTGTGCACTCCAATCCTATCCAGCCACTAAAATATAAAATTCCGCTAATAAAAATTTTTAGAAAATTTCCATCTCTAAAAGATTAATTTCCTCTATACAAGACATGAGAATATTCTGTCAAAATAAACTTTACTGAGTTACGGCTAATGAAGATGAATATTGAAACATCAATTCCAGGGTTTTTCTTCAAAGCATTTCATGTGAAAGCTGCATTTCTATTTAACAGATGGGACAAAAAACTTGAATTTCCCAAAACGGTCGCAATACCCAATTATATTTGCGCTTAAAAACACTACAAATACACTCAAGAAGTCTTGATTTAATGATATGCTGTTCCTGAAGCAGTCGTCTACTTCACACAGCTCACAAGGGATCAGATACCTCACATCTTCATTCGAACCCATTTCATCCTCCACAAAGTCACTCTCTTCCCCATTGGTTTCGTAGGAACTCTGTCTTCCTCCCGACTTCTGCCTGCTTCTGTGGCGGAAATAGCCATTAAATTCTCCGCTTCGTTCTTCCGTCTCCTCGATTTCTTCATCTGTTTGGCCACTATGATACCTCTCCTCTTCTTCCGACAGCACTTGTGATCGTCGATGACCTGGAATGAAGCAATATTTGTATTTGACCAAGAAAAAATTGTCTTCGTAAATTATGGACAACTGTCTGCATACACTCAATGCTATTTTTGCTCTGAATGACAACCAGCATTTATTGTTGAGGGCCTTGTTATTGGGTAGCAGTCAGATTAGAAAGCTTACCCTCCATGGAATAAAGTGATTACACATAGGGAAATAATTAAAAGCCCAGAAATTAATGTTCGATACCACGAAAATATTAAAAAAGTACTTGCTGGCAAATTGACTGCATTCACAAGCATTCGAATGCGAGACAGATAAACGAACCACAAACTTGTGAGTGATTTTTAGCGTTTCCAATATATATCTCCATCAGCATGATATTTCACCGAAAAAGCTAAAGGACTTACCCTTGTGTACATGCGACCGGATATCGTCCCCATCAGCGCCATGGTTCCGTCTCTGTCGTCCGTTTCTTCTAGAGGTCCTATGATCTTCTTCCTCTACTTGATGGTCATCATAGTCCTCTTCTTCGTCCTCACAGTAGTCCTGTCCATTAACCATCGGATCATGAATGCCCGTGACAGCTGCCATGAGCATTCCATCCCTCGCACGAATGGCAGCACGCTCATCTTTGTTACGCGATCTTAGCCATGCCTCATCATTAATTCTCTCTCCCACCGTCATCATCTCCTCCCTTTTCGATCCCAGCCGTCTCTGACGGGTGTCGGACTTAATCCACTGATTTCTATCCTCCTCCTCGTCAAAGAATTCCTCTTGGTCTTGCGAAATACTATTATCTTCACCGTAATCCTCATCGTCTTGTTCAATCGAAGACGATTGTCCCCAAACCCTGCGTGCCGCCTTTCTCTCGTCCTCGTTAATGAACTCTGAGGGTATTAGGACACCCTGTACATCCTCCTCACTGCTCACCTTCGCATCATCAGGTGTGGGTGGAGTTAGCTCTGGAAGGTTTGCCTCCTGCTGTGATAGCCTGTTCGACCCGACTAGCGTCCTTTTGGAATGCTGTCGCTGCAGCTGTGGTTTTTGTGACTGTTGCTGTTGCTGTTTATCTTCAACAGAAATCATGGCATGCGCTTCAGAGACGGCCTGTTTCGCAGCTTCTGCCACCACATTCACCTGCTTCATTAGACCCGATGCGGCATTCTGAGCCCTCGACATGAAGGACCCGAAAACCCCACTGGGCTTGGATACAGACTGAGTATTCAGAGCAGGCAAAGAGCCGGTGAAACTCAGGCGATCTTGAGCGGCTTTCTTCTGCTGTTGTTGATACGACTGAGTGTAGTAGTCACGAAGACCTGCCTCATTTCTGTGAATTAAACCAGCACGTATTCGCAGCTGCTGCAGGTGTTCCTCACGTGAGAGCGGAGGCTCGTTCTCCACTGCTGCTACTATGTTGTTCAAAGAAGCGCTGTCAAACAATTGTGACACGGAAGCTGAGAACTTGGAGTACTCGCGTAAAGGGGCCTCGTAATCTCTTTCAATGGCCTCGGTATCATTGGGTGTTAATGGGGATGATTTTAGTGTCGTTAACGGTGCTTCTTCTGCCATAGCACTGTGAGTTTGTACTTCTTTTGTTGGAATCTAGAAAGTTGAATGTAAAACGAAGTGTAAAAGTTAGTGAATTAGGGACAAGGTGTCCGATATACTACATTTGGATTTGGACAAAGCCAATACGTTTGTCATTTTAATAGACAGGGAAGACGACGGAACCATGGAGGACGTGGGTCAAAGTTTACAAGAAGTCAAACGCCTGAATGATTTATTGGTTAATGAGTGAAGCAGAATTTGACGAATACAAGGTGTGACTTAGGTAGTTTGACCTATTTCCTCAACAAAAAAACAATCGCAAATGCTGCGCAATTGAAGGTTTCCTCTTATACAACTAAAAACGCCGCTGCTTTGCTACTAAAAGTGGTATAATGAAACTTGATTCTTTATTTTGCTACTAGCACGTCAGTTGGCCAAATTCTTAATCATAGGAAATATTAAGATGAAATATTGGGAGGCTGTATCTCTACATCATGATAGCGATGAAGAATGAACTCTGAAATAATTCCTCTTTTGACACTAGTTTTATTTGTTGCAACGAGAGTACTCAACCAACTGCTTTATCTTCCCAAGTTATTTAAAATAATCAGATCAACGATAAAGTTTTCGTACAATTTTTCCACGATAAGAAGTACATTCATATTAGTCATAGCCGATGTTCAAGGCAGAAAAAATAAGCGAAAACGCATCCTCCTCGAACGATCAGTGGACTTAAACCTTATCTTTACACTCTCATTAGCCATTCTGTTGCCATCTCAATCCGCACATAATTCCATAAAGGAGAGAGCAAGTATAATTCATTCAGCGAATCAAAAAATCTGCAAAGTTTTACATAAATCAGCAACAGAAATATGAAATCTGCCTCGAAATCTCCCTCAAAATGTACTTACCCCGTGGGATTCATGTAAAGTGGGGCACCCCAGATCGACTTCTTGGGCAAATTTACCACCATATTTGGTGGAAAAGCTACGTCTGAGTTGAACCGCTCTTGAAAAAGCTGCAGTCGAGGCATTGCTTGTTGGCATTGGTTCCATGAATAACGATTTTATACCTGTAGACAGGGCATTAGTAGTTGACTTGAATTGTGCCGAGAGGGTGCCTGTGAGAGACTTTGTTGAATGCTGGGTAACTAAAGTTCAACCGAAAAAATTAAGAAAATAATAAGGACCCATCTAATGATACTTCGCAAATCCCGAATTTTTATCAAAATGCATGATTGGGCCCAATAACCCTGTGAGATTTTCGAAACAGCTCGATGTGATGGCCTTTTGTAAGGCAGGCATGTACCAGTGTGTCAGCACATGACCCCTCGTTGCTCTCCATACTACTTCCCTCTTAACTTGAACTCATCCTCATTTCATAAAGCAGCAACTGAGCCAAACTGCTTAATGTCATTAGCCTTATCTACTTAACAAAGCTAAACTCTGTGTCAAAGTTTCATTAGCATCCCCAAACCTACCTGTGAGATTTGGGGAGCGCGGAGGCAGGAGGGGTTACTCCGAAACCGCTTCAATGAATCATTTGTCTTCGGCGATATGTCACTCGAAGGTGAACGCTGCATCATACTCAGAAAGACTACATTCTCCACAACTACTA